TTTATTTGGATGGTCCCCTATAGATGTTCTGCAGATACTTATCAACAAACTTTCTGGTGATAATCACTTGATTATCAACAGCATTAAGGTTAGGGTTAGGTCTAGGAGTATGTGTAGGTTTTACTCTGAGGTTAGGATTAGGGTCAGGTTTAGGGTTAGCAATTGATTTAATAGAATCTTTCACACCCAACTTCAAGTTCAGTTGCATTTAACAGATATTTAATTGAATGTTAGTCAAAGATAGACTGAGCATCTACGAAGCCCCTACAGTGGACCATCCAAATAAAGTGCTGCCTTATTTTTAATATATGATACTGTTAAAGGGCCCATATCACACATTTTTTTATTGTTTTCATTTAAATAACCAACTTCTCTTTATCCCTTAAAGGGGAATTCCATCAATTTTTCTGAAATTCTCCAGAAGTCAATTGTTCAGATGTAAACAAAGTCATTCAGGGTGGTTTTATGTGCAATGCAGTTCTAGAGAAACTCGCCGAGTCGGAAATGTTCACAGTGGTGGTGATAGGAACCAGACACTGAACAGTTAATGCCTCTTAAAGCTCCCTCACAAAAAAAGTTTTATACATGAAATGGTTATGAAAACGCTGCCTGGTGTCCAAGACGTTGTTCCATGATAGTTTTGAGATGAAATTTTGGACAACAGTGTACTTTTAAAATATGGTAATGATGGAGAGATACATGTAGGGTGCTATAAGGCAAAGTAGTCTCCAGTAAAACTTTTTGTTTCTAGATTTTCCACTATTTTACCATCATCACCATTACATTTAAAAACTTAGAAAACTCTTGTAGGTTCACTGGTAGTTTTGGGTGGTAAATAAAATGGATACATTTGTGTTGTGGACATGGTGACCCCTGGTTCCTATCACCACCACTGTAAAGAAATCAGAGTTGTAAGTTTCTCTACAATGAAACATTTCACATCAAACGACTCTGAATAAGTTTACATCTAAGTGAATAAATTATGCATACATTTTGAAAAATTGAGTTCCCTTTAAGCTGGCAGTATGCTTCAAATGAAAGAACTAAGTGAAATCAAACTACCGCCAAACACCCTGTAAACGTAGATGAAGATCCTAAACCTGATCCTCAGCCTGGTCCTAAACCTAATCCTGGAACTAGTACTCATCTTAACACTAACACTGTTCAGAGTCAACTGAGTTTCAATATTATCTAGTTCATAATTTAAATGTCTACAGATAATCTGTTGGCGCCTATCCAAATGAAGTGAGTTTGAGCTGTTCTGATTGGCCCTCATTCAAAAAACAGTCCAAAGTTTAATGTGAGTGGGAGGGGCTAAACTATTGTGAATCCTGAGTAGATATATATTTGTAAATGCCTTAGTTTTTGTAATATCACCAAAACATTACATTTAAAATGGGTCACTTTTTTGCAGTTTAGTTTCCATGTATAGACTGTGGAGTGAGCGCTATGTTCAAAGACTTCAGTGTTTACATACTGCATCAAACTTTCATTTCCAAAACAGTTTGGAAATTCACGAAAGGAAAAGGTCGTTTTCCATGATGTGGGTCCTTTAACATACTTAGTAATTGATAAAATCTTTGCTCTTGAAAGCTGCTTGAAAAGGACATCAGTGAGTGCGTTTACATGCACTTAATAATCCGATAACTGCAGAAAATCAGATTTTGTCAGTAATCCGATCAACACGTTAACTTGCACTTGGGTAATCAGATAATGGGGAAACTCCAGGTCTACATGAGTCGGGCAGTAATCAGATTTCTGCCTTACAACCAGCCAATAAACTCACAGAAGAAGACGTGACGTAAACGTAACGTAAAACTCAAAATTAATGCCACGGCTTTTTATTGCGACACTTTACCTGAACTTATGAACAGACATCATCTAGAAGATGAAGAATATTTAAATCCTTCATTTCGTCAAGCATGTATTTGGTTTCAGAGTCGCTCCAAAAGTGTTTTGCTCTGTCTCGTGGCGACGCTGCTCTTATTTCTGGTACCGCAGTCTGTTTTCGCACATGCTCAGACTGAGAAATCCGAAAGAAATCAGAGTAAGAGTTTACAGCACTGAGAAATCTGATCACTGAGCTAAAATCAGGCTCTCTTTATCGGATTTCTTCATCAGATTTCTAGACCTTACTCCAATCTAAGAAATCGTAGTGACCATTTGAATAATCAGATAACTGCAGAAATCTGATAATTATTGGATTATTGAGGGCATGTAAACGCACATATTGATAGATCTCGATTGAGCTGATTGATCTCTCAGCTGACCTTGCATCTCCAAAATGGTAACTTTACAGGAGAGTGAGAAATGTTCTTAGCTTTTAATGGAAGTTAATGTAACAATAATTTTTCAAAGTTATGTTGGAGCATTTCTGTTGAAAAGGCAACTATGCCATTCTCACGAAACCACATCCAAAAATATTTTAATGTCATAGACATTGTACAGATTAACAATATGCTTTTAATTTAGTAGATCAGGTGGAGCGCTATATGATACAGCAAAACGTTTGAGTAGTTCGTTTTTATATTTTTTGACATTTTTTTACACCGATTCTCATTACAGCATTTGGTTGTTTTTGTTCTCATCCCTGATTTTTCTAATACTTTTAACTGTTGAATCTCTTTAATGTTTTTCTTGTAAACTATAAAGGCGTGAACCAAAACAACCAAATGGTATATGGCTTAGGTATAAAGAAAAATCTCAGTGGCTGTCAGTGTGTTGCGGCAGTGAGATTAAACACTATATTTTGTAAAATATACTCTATATGTTTAATAGTTTGCTTTAAAATAGCTAGTTTGACAACAGCATATAGGTTGTGAAAGAAAAGTTGAGAAAAAAAAAACATTTATTTACAGATTATCTGATAAGAATTTACTCACTTGAATTGGAAAATGTTACTTAAAGTCAATTTAATATCAACAAGGAATCATTGTTTGTATATCCAGCAAAAAAAATTGAATTGTTTTAAGTTGGGCTCCAATATTTGTCATGTTCATGAGAATAACCAGACTGTTTTGTTTTTGTTTTTTCAAATTATGCAAAAAAGGTCTCGTCCCGACAGTAGATGTGTGAGATGTAAGACTGCTGTGTGACCACTTTTAGCGTCGCCTTCTCACTCACTTTCACAGTTTTGCATAGGAAGTCTTACTTTGGTACTTGGGTTGTTCAGCTGTTTGCAGCACTGTCTGTTTACACATTTGAATATTCCGACAGAGCTTTTTCTCACAGTAAAATGTTTGTACAAACTCAGTTTGTCTCAGTTTATACTCAGTTTATACTCCAGTGGATGCCTCCTTAGGCCTATTTTAAAAAGATCTGCAAGACGTTCATACCTTGTCAGTCAGTCACAACAGTGAGTGCAGGCTGAGAGCCCCAAGCCCCTACAGGGGGTCTTCAGTGGATTGTGTGATGGGCAGATCATGTGGGCAGGCCATATGTGCCTGTCTTTATTACTGTGTGGCTTGCTATACACTGCTTCATTTGCCATGTTTTTCTTTTCAGTAGTTTGTCATTTTGTCAGTTGATTAAATCTGATTCATCCGCATCTAAAAAAGTGACTTGTTTAAAAAAAGATAAGTACTAAACATCATTAAAATTGAATATACGTGCCAACTGACCACAATTCGTCGCCATCCTGTGCCCACCTTACAAAATATGTGTAATGTCATAGAGCAACACCAGGGCAGGTCAACGATAGCTGCGGAGAATGCCAATGAAATGGACAAGGTTCTGGTAAGACATAGTCCTTGTTCGTTAAGTGAACGTAATGACCAGGAGGGACGGGACGAGGAGTGGAGTGGGTCTGGGCGAGGAGGCACAGTGGCAGAATCTGTATGAGTGACCCCGTAAGGATTTTAAGGGGCCTGGTTTCCACGACACCCCTGCACCATGACCTTAGTGCGTTTATTATGCTTAGTGTGATTTTTTTTTGATATTTTTGTAGAACCTTAAAGGATTTACGTCCACTATTCTGTGTTGCAATAAATTGTCTGACCTTAGTGTTTTCAGTGCCTAACGAGGTAATGAATAGAGCTATAGCTGGGCTTGTGGATGGACACTTGAAGATGACGCCGCAGCAACAGATATGCAAAAGTGGCGTAAATGACCTAGACTCCAAAGCAATGGATGATGAGCTTGATATCAATGAGAAAATTCTCAGCTGTAAGTTATGTATCACTTCCTGTGCATTGTTATGTAACATAGCATGTGAAAATGTTCGTTTGCATGAGGGCATGTCTCACCTAGCCCACCCTTTGACCTTCCTCTGACCTCTAGGGCATGGCTGGAGTTCTGTTAGGAAGTGCAACCCACCTGAAAAGGCAGAGCATGCTGGAACCAGCCTCTCCTAGAAGTCGAGCTGTGTCAGCCAAACCCAGTGAGAAACGGAATCTTCTAATTCCAGGATGAAATAGAGATCTATCAAGATACCTTCTATTTTTTGACCTCATCTCAGTGTAAAACTGAAACCTTTTTCCTCAGCTACACCAGCAAGTGCTTGATGTTTTTATGTGCTCTCACAGTGATAATACTGTGTGTGTATCTCTGTGATAATCTGCACTGATGTTCCCAGACTTGCTGGAACATTGTCCCTTGAACAGCTACCCAGATCAATCTGAAATTGACTGGCGTTTTTCTAGACCAATTCCGAAGCTTTGGTTACATGCCGACAGGATTAAGAATCCTTCAGCCCTTTGCCCTTTTGAATCACTCAGGACGCTGTTGGATCACGGACACTTGAGAAGAAGCTTGACCATGACCAAGGCAGAGCAAACCCCAGGTGCAGCAGGTTCAGGCTCCCACAGTGATAGTCGAGATTCTCTGAACAGTTAATTGATCCCTGTGACTAGACTCACACTAGTCTCACTAGATTGCAGCTGAGAAGCAGCGGGACCACGACCAGGACTCTGCAACTCCCAGTGCTGCCAGTCCAGGTTCCCATGGTCAGTGCCAAGATGCGCTGAACTGTTCGTCTGTCCGTGACTGATGTTCTGAGAGTTGATGCAGGACATTGTCCCCAGAACAGTCACCAAAGATCACACTAAAGTTTGTGGACCATTCTTGAACCTTTAATTCTAAGACAAAAAATAAACGTGTTGCCTCTTTGTGTTAGTCACCCATCACTCTGAAGTGGACCGAGAGTTTGTGAAGCCCTCCTGGACTCTCAAACAGGATTAAGAACACTTCAGCTCCTTTTGTACTAATCACATCAGATCACTGTGGGATCGCATGTGCGCCTGCAAAGAACCGGTACCATGACCGAGACTCTGCAACTCCCAGCGCTGCAGGTCCAAGCTCCCGGGGACTGGGAGGAAGACGGCTCGAGTGCAACCACAACCGGAGACCCTGCTGGACCACCCAGCACTCCACTGAGCCCTTCACAAAGCCCTGCCTCCAGTCCCTCCCTGCGGCGCAAGCGCTTCAAGATGCGACGCATGAAGAATGTACAGAGCGAGAGGGAGGCGGCTGACGGCGGTTCCCCTGGGAACTCTGGCTCCAAGGAATACTTGCAGCTCCCCTCCATCGAGATCACGCCATCCAGCGATGAGGATGCTGCCTGGTCCAACTGCTCCACGCCCAGTGCCTCACCACGCCGCAAACGCTTCCTCCTGCGCAAGTGGCTTCGAGGGGGTGACAAGAAGGAGCAGAGCAGTGAGAGCAGGTCTGTATAACAGGCCGGCAGAACCTTGTTCCTCTCTCTTCTCCACCCCATCCCACCATGTTCACCTGCACTACCCAGCCCTGGCTTTCTGGCCCTTATCCTCAATGAAACTCAGCTTAGTTCCATATTCCTTTGGCATGTCTGAAACCTGTGGCTGCAGATGCGTAACTCTGAATTGCTGGTTTTTTTTTTTCTTTAATTATGAACATTTGTTTATACATTTACATTTCGCTGCTGTCAGAACAAAACCTTCTCCAAAAAGGTAACTTTACAAAATAATGAAAAATACTCTTCATTTTTAATGGAAGTATATGGATACATATTTTTTTCCAAGTTATTACGGACCATTTCTGTTGGCCTGTTCAGCACAAAATTTTGACACATCATAAAGGGTGACTGGCCTTTTCAAAATATGTCAAAAAATGAAAAACGATAAAAATGGAGATACTAGGTTTTGTTCTGACAGCAACGATTTGTAGGTTGGTTGATTTAGTCTGGACTAAGCAAGTAAAAACAAAACATGCTACATTGTTGCATTTTTTTTGTAGTTTTCTAGGTGGTCAGCCTTAGATGTTCCCATGCACTCTCACAAAAAGATGGTTCTTCAAGGGTTTTTCAGTAAAGAACCATGAACCATGAACACTCAAAGAACCCCTTGCATGATTAAAAGGTTCTTTGTATCATGAAAAGGTTCTTCAGATTAATGGAGAATATGCTTTAGATGGTACTATATATAGCACCTTTTTGAAAGTGGTTCTGTGTAGCACCCAAAGGGGTTCTTCTATTGTTACGATGTCAAGCTTGTAACATAGAAGAACCCTTTTGGGTGCTATGTCGAACCCTTTTCAAAAAGGTTCTGTATAGAACCATCTGTAGCACATTCATGCCTATTTTCCATCAATCTAAAAAGCCATTTCATGATGCAAAGAACCCTTTAATCATGCAAAGGGTTCTTTGAGTGTTTATGGTTGTATGTAGAACCATTTAGACAGAAGTCTAACAGGACATGTAGATTTTGTGTTTTCCCACCATGTTAAGCAGTAAAACAGCCATGCTTGCTTTTATAGTGAAATGTGGCGAATTAATACATCATATAATTGCAGGGATGTAACAGTACAACATAGTACTGTAACTGTATTGTACAGTATCATTCACTAGTATTGTGACTAGCAGTTTAGCTTGTGGCTAGTGTGTTAGCTTGGAGCTAACAGATTATCTTGTGTCTAGAGCACTAGATTGGGACAATATAAAGCACAGCTTTTGTTTCAAACCTTTTACTTTAATGTTTGTAGAATGCTCTGATGAACTGGCACTCAATAATTAGACACACCATATTTTTGCTATGTCGAAAAATGTATCGAATCATGACACCACCTCATCATATCAAATCGAATTATGAATCTTGTGAATCGTTACACCTCTGTGTTATTGTTGTGTGCAGTCAGGTGTGTGTGTGTGTATATATGGAGTATTTTATAGAGGCTTCAGTCGTGCTTCGGTCATGTTTGAATCCAGAACTATATATTTTATATTTTCGAATTCTGAGCTCATGAAGAGATGATAGAACGCACTTACTCGAGCCAAAACAGCATCAACAATTAATTGGTTCCAGGTAGATAAGAAGGTATGTAGAGAGGAGACGACGGTTCGCTCTAGTAGTGGCCGATATACACCGGTTCGTGCAGTATACCGGTTGAAATTCTTCTTAAGGTATTCATTTTGTCATTACCTTTATATGTCACAAATAAGCGCAGATAACACACCGTACAAACAGTACAAGTGTCTGATCTCCTAAGTTGCAGTCTGAGGTTTTGTATTTGAAGGACCAATCAGAATGTAATGAGTTAATGAGTTTAAAGAAGGAAAAGACACTGGAAACAAAAGCCAGTCTCTTGGGGTTAAGATAGCCCCAAGCCTAGCATGAAGACCAGCCAGCTTTCTGCGCACCCCGCCTACAGTGCCTCTCGCTCGTCCAGCTGCTTCAGGCAATACTGTGGTCTCAGGGCCTGGTCCTCACAGCAAGCCAACAGGCTTCGCAGCATCTCAACTAATATCAGCAGCATGAATTACTGTATTATTTAACAAATTTGAGCCTCGCCTGACGATCAATGTAAAGCTTGAATGTAAGAGGCACATGTTTGACATGAATGATTTCAGAAATTCAGACGTACAACAATATTTAGCACCGATTTTGCTGGGCTCAGCAAACACCCAGCTCGTCTTAACCTCGATACGGTTAGAAAAGCAGCACCTGACATCTGTTTATTTATTGTTCATTGCTGTTTTTACTGTTTTGCACAGTGTAAGTATTTTAGATTTACTTCAGTTGTTAAATATGGCTCAAGGTGCAAGGACATCCCAGAATAATACACCACCATTAATCTGTAAAATTAGCTTTACTTAAGTATCTGTAATGATCTGGTTCCAAAAAAGTAATATATACCATCAGAAATTGTAATTATATCATTTTAATTATACATTTTTGGCCATAACACCCACTAAGAGTTCACCATATAATTTTGGTCCATATAATTGCCCTGGGCGCGCTGTATGGTCATATTTTAAAACCAAACCAACCTCCTCAGGGGGTTCTGGTCCGCTGCACACCAGGGTTTGAATAGCATTCACATTTATTCTAACAAACTGCACTAATAAAGCAATCGTTGAACCAAAGCTGCCAACTGTGAAGACGTCCTTAATGGAAGATAAGCTTCAACCCAAGATATATGATGGTCTAATCACATGAATGCCTTGATTCAGCCGTGTCATTTGGAACATCTGAGATGTTCCCCTGAGTGTTGTGTAGACGTTTTGGAGAATGTAGGAATTCACATGATCTGTTATTTCCTCCTTTGCATATTGCAGCCTTTTGCAATATCAGTAGAGCAGAGGCCAATATTGTGAGGACATATTTTGCAGCCACATTTCTAACCCAAGATTCCTCATGCCGTGCTTGGGCTGTGAAAGGCCCACGTGAGCCTGGGCCTGTTTGCTCTCTGGGGACTGATGTCCCTGTGGTGACATTTATAGCAAGAGGAGGTTGCACACTGCAGCCACAGGGCTTTACAGGGGCGCTATTAAATATTCATCAGCCCACTGCCTTCTGAGGAGCCTTCGTTTTAAAAATAAAACAACAAGCTTTAAGTACTGATCCCGAAATCCAATATGGGTCCCTTTGGTGCCCTTAATGTCGGTCGCAGATGTTTTACATTGATTGTGAAGGTTTCGATTGCTCCCATGAAGCTTGCTGTCTAACAGTTTGAAACGCTTCCCTACTGCACAGGCCAGGCTGGTTTGACTATGGATCATTCTACTGAACTGGTTCAAAGTCAGAATTGAAACTGACTTGGACTTTAGACTAAAATGCTTTGAGTGACCCTATACCTTATTTATGTTTATTCTATTCAAATAAACGATTAAACATTCCATTCTGTCACAGCAGAGCAATCATAACACTACTGAAACTTTCCCAGATGTTTCGGTAGTGATCATTTTAGCTCATTTTGAGCAGAACTAAAAAAACACCAGTCAGTACATGAGTAGCAAACACTGATTTGAGCACTTTTGTACAAATCAAATCATAATATTTGTCATTAAAATGCAGAAAAAGAGGAAAATGTGTTTTGGTAGTGACAATTCTTAAGGTTGCAAACAGATTTTCAGACACATTAACTTCAAAACAATGGGATGTAACTGCTCACCATGTGGACAGGGATGCAGTCTGACCTGCTGCTCTGAAATGCAGGGGCGTGCCTATGATATGGCTCTGCCTATGGACTAAAACCGTAGCGACATGAAAACGTGGGACAGCATTTTTTTTTTGTGAAGTTGTTATTTTTTTATTTAAAAATTAAACTTGTGAAAAATCTAAATCTTTCAACTTTCAAGAAATTTTCAAGGAATTTCAAAGTATTATTTCTCACCTCTCACCCAGGGGTCGACCACATGCGGCTCTTTTACTGCCCTGTTGCGGCTCCACAGCAGAATTAGATTTGTAGGTTAAAATCCTTTACAGTAAAATAAAGCTCTGCTGATCGTTCAACACAGTTTAACAATAAACGGTCTTAAACTCTGGAGTTAATGTAGAACTGATAATTCACCCTTTAACCCTGAAGATCAGGGCAGACTGCTGGTCACCATAGCAACACAGACAACAGTCTCGCCTAGCTAGTAACTAACATAACGGCAAAGAGAGAGATTTAAGATGAACATCGATAATTTGGAAATGAATGGACTTATTTGCATTTATAATCACTCCAGCTGGTTTCCTGATACGTTTAATCTGCAACGAGAAACTGTCAAACACTAAAAAGCCACGTTCCACCTTAAATGGTGCCTCAGGCGGCAGAATGTAACTGCTGCAACATTTAAGGTAGAACTAGAAAATTCGAACAAGAAGCTGACGAATGAGAAGCGACTTCAGTCTCGTAAAAAGTCGAACGTTGAGAGACATTTTACAAGAAACTGTTCTACTTTTAAGGAAAAGTTTCCTGCTGGAGATTCGAGAAAAGCAGCTTTAGCTGAGCTAAAGCTTAAAACAGAGCAAAGTCGGTCTTTGTTTATGTTATATTTTTTGGTCTACACTAGTACATTAGTACATACTGAGACATATTTACAGCCAAGATGGTCAAACATTACTTAAATTAAATGGACATAAAGGTCATTTAATTTTTGGTGAAAGGACAAAATGGCTGTTCTTAACGTTTGAGTTGCCGACTCCTGCTCTGACCTGTCTAACCAATAGAAAGTGCCCTATAATTGATGACTTTGTATATATTTAGCGTAGTACTGCCTTCATTGCTGCCATCGGTTTACGTAGATCATCACATCATCTTTGTAAGGTCTGAATACTTTATTGTTTAAAATAGATTTTAAATCCTCTTTTACTGCATTAGAGTTCCCATTAATGTGGTGGTGTAATGGAAGGTGTATGGTATTTTTATCACCTGTGTCAACTTCCCTTTAACATCACAGTTCCACATAATGTGGGGAAATATGAGTTCCTTTTCTTTGATGCGCATGAGCCATATGTTGGTTTTGTTCCATAGCCTCGTACTGAAGACTTGAAAGGAAGGCAGGTTTCACTGTGGGCTTTGCCAGCATGTTTTGTCCCACTTTGGCACTTTGATTTGTTGCAGACTTTTAAACTTTTATGACTTCTTCCAGAGTGATTTGCAGACGACCACCAACTCTGACTCGGAATGAAGTCACTCTACATTTTATACCTTATTTTGGGCTCATTTTAAAGCGATAGCTCTGTTAAAAATCCATTTATTTTACCATTTTACTTTAAATATCGATCTGCCAGGAAGTCAGACTTAACATAGATGCTAGCAGATGGCAGGAAGTCGTTGTCAAGTGGCGTATAGGTGTCAAAAAAGCCCTCTCGTATTTAATATCATTCAAAATGGTTTGGTGTGAATTGGTTCATTGTAGAGAAACTTACCAATCCTGATTTTTTTACCATAGGGTTGCAACAAACGACTGTTTTGATAGTCAAATAATCTATCAATTATTGAAACGAATGATCGATTATTCGGATTATTAATCGCTCAATTACCAAATAACTTTCTGGCAAACTTGTTCTCCGTGAACAGTTAAATTTGAAGGATTTTGTGTAAACATTCCATTTCAACAGTAACCCTTCGTCCGGCTCCACTGTATGTTTGCAGAGAACTGCCTCCTATAACTATCTTCATCCAGCAGTTAGTTCCGGCCACGCAAACCGATTGATTGAAGCGCTCTAACTGTGCTGTTATTTCACCATAACATCACGTTTTTTCACAAACACTGTATCACTCCGCTGAGACGCTGTTGCTAAGCAACAACTTTGACAGTTCCCAAACTGTCATCAGCACTGAGCAGCTTTTCAGTCGGCAGCTGTGACAGAAGAACAGCTAAACAACCTGGAATCAGCCAGAAATGAACCCGACACCATTCGCCAAACGAAATGGGCTGTAAGATGCTTTACAGACTGGCTGGAACAAAACAACATTAATACTGATCTGGCAAAAACTGACAAAACTGAGCTAAACTTGATATTGCGGCAGTTTTATGGCTCAGTCTGTAATTCGAAAGGTGAGGCTTACAGCAGGCTTTGCTGCGATTGAGCGGAGTTTGTTACTTTGATGTAGCAACAAGCTGCTTGTTAAGGAACTCTAATTTGGCTGAAGGAGCTGCGAACATTAAAACATACTGGACGCCGCGTTCACAGCCCAGTTTATTAATTTATTACTTTATTTATTTAACTGTTGTATAAAAGCGATAGAACACTCGAGGTCGTGTGTTTTGTTTTGCGATAACACACTCCCTCTGTGTTCTATTGCACAAATAGCACAACCGACAACGTTTTTTCGGAGTTTAGCGTGAGACGCTCCTACACTTCTTGCTCTTGAGGTTGCCATCGCGCTTTGGTTAACTCTCCAGTAAGCGGTAATGTCAAAACATTCCTAGTGAGCGCAAAAAAAAACATGCGCAATGACTTCACCAGCTAATCGACTATTAAATTAGTTGTCAACTAATCTGGTCGTCAATTTTAGTCGAGTAAGTCGAATAATCGTTGCACCCCTATTTTACAATGGTGGCAAAAGGAACCAGGTGATGCAATGTCTAAAACATAAATATAGCCATTCTGTTTACTATCCAAAGCCACCCAATGAATCTGCACATCTTTTGAGTTCTGTATGTAATGTGGATTATGGTGAAATAGAGTAGATCTGAAAAAGAAAAGTGTATTTCGGGCCTGTTTTGCTTTACAGCACCATACATGTACGTCTTCGTCAAGAATGGGTTCATAACAAGATGCATTTTAAGACAAAAGCTCTTTCAAAACTACTGTAAACAATGTCTCAGGCATCAGGCGGAGCATTATAACCATTTCATATAATAACTTTCTCTGAAGGACATTTTCGAGGCGTTTAAAAGGGGAACTCCACCTATTTTTCAAATTTCGGCACAATTAAATGGTTAAACAAAGTCGTTCAGAGTGGTTTGATGTGAAAAGCTCCGTTCCAGAGGAACTTGCAGAGTCAGAATTGTTCACAGGTGTTCACAATTGTCAACAACCGGACGTCTGAAGTGTTTACTGCCTCTAAAAGCTCCCTCACAGAAAGTTATTACATGAAATGGTTAGATATACACTGTCTGAAGTCTTAACACATTGTTTTATGGTAAGGTTTTAGCTTAAATAAGCAAAAAAGTCCCTAAACAGAACTTATTTTTTCAGATTTATTACTATTTTGCCATCATTAACATTACATATAAAACCCGGAAGAAACATGTAGGTTCACCGGTGGGTTTGGATAGTAAATAACATCAGCAAACAACAAACACATCAAACTACTCTGAATGACTTGGGGTAATTCCCCTTTAACTCTTCAGACATCTGGTTCCCACCACCACCACTGTGAGCAATTATGACTACGTGCATTTCTCTACTAGGGAGTCTATATCACACCAAACCACTCTGAATGACGTTGTTTACATCTTAACCATTTCTTGTTAGCTACATTAGCCTTGTAGAGAAGCAAAGAAGCAAACTTCAGACTCCAAACATGTCCTGGCTAAATGCTTATATCTGGAATAAAGTGGGGGAATTTGGGCAAATCTGCCTTCCTGACAAACTGTCACTTAAATTTGCTGCATCTGCTGAATGAACTGGTGCATACAGGCTCATACAGACAGATGCACTGAGATAAACGTGAGGCTTCTCCATTCCTCTTGGCCTGCTGAGCGTTAGTGTGAAGTATTGGGCAACCTTGTGAGATCTGTTGTGAGGTTTCAAGGCAGTTCTGAAAGATGTGAGCTGATATCTGCTGCCAGCATGCTCCGAACACGCAGCAGACACATCTTTAAAGCTACGCTCTGCTGCATGCCCGCACAGCAGAAATGAGACGTGTGTTAGGTGCTCACAAGTGCTGACCCCTGCTCTCTGTGCTTTCTGTGTTACAGCAGTCAGCAGAGCAGCATACAGAGCAGCCATGAGGAGGACACCACGCGCTACCTGACCCCTAACATCCGCGAGGAGAGGTAGGTACTGCCTTTACTGTGAAAGTTGATCTGAGCTTTTGACATGATATGATTTCAGTCCGTTTGGCTGTTGGCTTGTAAGTAAAAGTTTCAAAGGGGAACTCCACCGATTTTTTTGAAAAAAATTCAACATAATTAAATGGTTAAGTGTGAAATGCTCTGTTCTAGAGTCAGAATCGTTTACAGTGGTGATGATAGGAACCAGATGTCCACCTCTCAAAGCTCCCTCACAGAAATTTGTTGTAGATTACAGATTGTAAACGAACATGTAAAGCTCAGTTCATTATTGACATTATTAATTATTGATATTGACATTATATTTAGTCTATATTCTTTTTTTTTAATTTATTTTATATATTCTAAGAAAACGTGTCAGTTGTCCCTGTTAAGTTCTGTTAGTATTTCTTTTGAGGATTTCTCAAATTCTCGTATCGTGATACAAAAACGACACTGCGCATCGTATCATGAAATGTGTGTATCGTCACACCTCCTAATAAACATTGTTAAGGTTTAAAAACATACCATCAACCCCCCACCGTCCCTCGCCTCTGTCCACACCCCGTCCACACATTTCGTGTATAGAAATCTACACAAACTACACAAACAGCCTGTTTTGAATGATATAAGGTGTGTTTCAGTCTGGACTGCATGGTAACTTCACACGAGAAGGAAAAACGTACGCTACTTTTAATGTAAGTGAATGGAACTTTTTGTCCAAGTCATTTTGGGCCGTTTCTTTTGATCCATTTATCATGAAATTTACACACAATGTAAAGGACAACAGGTATTTTCAAATTTTTAAAAAAATTAAAAATGACAGCAGCAAATATAACAGTCTTAAAGGCACAGTAACAAAAACAGCCTGTTTAATTTCAAGAGATAGGAGAGGTTGCAAAGGTTGCTTTGGAAAGGTGGTCAAAAGCGGACCTCAGGGGAAAAACCAAAATACTAGAAAAACGTGGGACACGGATGGACTGTCCTGGACACTGAGTGGTACATTTGAAACACACGATACCAAACCTTTTATTTGAAAAAAGAGGAAAATTTGGAACATCTATAATATGATTTGGCACATTATTCTAAAATAATAGCTGCATCAGACATGCTATCAGTGAATGGACGCTTGCTGCCACTTAGTAGCAAAGCACCATTTACTATTTGCTTTCATACACTGTTAGCATCATTAGCATTTATGACTGAACTGCTCCTTTAACTCTATAATCGCATATATATTTGTGTGGTGCCAAATAGCAACAAAGTGTAGTGCAAGGTGAATAGCAATGCAGTGTCTTAGAGAGAAAGTGTTGGTCTAGTGATATTGTTGCTGTTGCTTGGCGTGTCCACTAGAGGGCAGTGGTTTATCAGAGCCTAGTGAAGTGACTGCTCCTGTATGTGTTGCAGTACTTATTGAAGTAGTTTTATTAAGCTCTCTCCTCTTCTTTCACACTGATCTCATTTCAGATCAAAAATGACACCTTAAACAGAAGAATAGAGCCCAACACACTTCATAAACTGATGGATGCTGGATGTACGAAGATCTGCACAGTCACAAAGTAGTTTTTTGCCCTGACTCTAATTAAGTTATCCTTTCTTTCTGCTTCAGTCTTTACTTCACAGTAATAGCAATGTTTTTACCTGAGTATGGGTCTAGGGCAGTTTTTCTGAACACTGGTTCTGGAGGCCCACTGTCCTGCACTTCTTAGTGTTCTCCCTGCTCCCAACACACCTGATCCAACTAATCATTGAGAGCATATTGTTGAGTTAAAGTGGCTCCTTTAAAGCAGGAAAAGCTCTAAATGTGCAGGGCGCGGGCCTCCAGAACCAGGGTGGGGAAAACCCTTGTCTAGGCCACTCTACCCACCACATCCTCTTTGTAGTGAATAAGCAAAAACATGCCAAACATGTGTTGGGGACTTTTTACACTTCTGGGCTTTTTTAAAGATACTTTAAAATTAATATTGTAAAGATATGTTGTTTTATTATATTGTAGACAATATACTGTATACTGGACCCCCAACATCTGGTATGGTACAACTGAGCTCTGTATATCTGTTTTTATTACTGCACTGTTTCTTATTGACCGGTGTTGACAACTTAATTTTCTGTTATATCCCAGATAATGGAAGTGTTCCTGCTTCTAATATGCTTGTTAGTCCAGATTCTGCCTGGAGGGCATGAACTCGCTTGTCTGAATAACATTTGCAGAAAGCTGTGGAGCCAAAACAATGAGGAGTACTTTGTGCTTCAGTCACGTTTTAAAAAAAAACACATGAGGCGATTTTTGGGCTTTTACGTGAAGCTATGAAAGGCAGCTTTGTTTGTCTCGCCAGGTCAGTGGCAGTGACGCTAGCCATGGACAAGGATGAGTCTAAAATGCTTTAGATGGGCTGAACCCTTAGCAGGGCTGGACGATATGTATTGTCTATATCGGTATACCATGATATTGACACTGTGGTATTGCTTTTCAACTTCAAGGAATATTTTTAGCAAAGTATTTGATGGATAATGAGCATTATATCCGTGATATATTGCCCCAAATAAAAACGAAAAAAGAATGCAATGATGTGCAAATCTTTTATACCCTGTATTTAATTGAAATAGTACAAAGACAACATATCAAATGTTAAAATTGAGAAATTGTTTTGTTTTTTGAAAAAAAAAAATGACCATTTTGAACTTGATGCTGGGCAACACATTTAAAAAAAAAACCAACAAAAGTCTGGTGAAGTTGTACAATGAAATAAAAACATCCGGTGGAACATCTTACAATTAATTAGGTTTACTGTCAATGGGTCAGTAACATGATTGGGCATTAAAAGAGCACTGAAGAGAGGCTGAGTCGTTCAGAAGTAAAGATAATGATGGATTCACCTTTCTGGGAAAGACTGTGCAGGCAAATAGTGCATCAATTCAAGAATAAGGTTTCTCAATGTAAAATAGCAGAAAACTTCATCATCTATGGTGCATAATATCATTAAAAGATCCAGAGAATCCAGAGAAATCTCTGTATGCAAGGGACAAGGCCGAAAACCAATATTGTCTGGCTGTGATCTTTGGGCCTTCAGGCAGCACTGCATTAAAAACAGACATGATTTTGTAGTGGAAATCACTGAATGGGCTCAGAAACACCGCTGAAAATCACTGTCTGTGAACGCAGTTCATCACTGCATCCACGAATGCAAGTCAAAACTCTACCATGCAAAGAAAAAAACATATATAAACAGGATCCAGAAACACTGCCGCCTTCTCTGGGCCTGAGCTAATTTAAGATGGACTGAGATGAAGAGTCAAAAGCTTCCTGTGGTCCGACAAATCACAGTTTTAAAACTCATGGACGCCATGTCCTCCAGGCTGAAAAGGAGAGAGACCATCTGGCTTGTTATCAATGTAGGTTTCAAAAGCCAGCATTCTTGATGGTATGGGGGAGTAAATTTTTCACTTCTTAAACATTGACGTGCTAGCAGGGAACCTTCCCTTCTGCCCCTGTTGTTTTGTAGTCTGCATATCTTTTTGGGTTTTTTTTTTTTTTGGTCAAAATGTTCAGGCTTTTTCTCTTTCAGATGGAAATATTTGGTGGCCAAAATTTCGCTTTGGTGTAATTCAGAGAAAAAGAAATGGAACAAAACAGGGCAACCGATCAAACCATCAGGCTATGTATGGTTTATAAGACACTCCTTTAGCATAGAGGAGGCAGAAGTTCATCAATTTTATTGATGCTAACTTAAATATCATCTGATACTGTGATATATTGGGCAAATATTGTGAAATGAAATTTTTTTCAGCACCACTCAGACTTAGAGTTAATCTTTTTACTATACGTTTTAATTACATAATTAATTTACTTTATGTTCTATTTATCTGCTGTTTTTCTACAAGTTCAAATTTGCACTTCTAACTTTTTTGCATACTGCATACTTAAAACTTTATTAATTTTAAGTCATAATAAAATATCGGTAACACTTTCTATGAATGTCACCTTGGTAAGCATCTATAAACACATTCATAACGTTATAATGCATTCATAAGGCATTATAAACATGGCTATAAATATTTATTAAAATGCATTACACGTTATAGCTATGCTTATTATGCATTATGAATTGTTAACATAATACATTATAAGCACTGATCATAACAAATTATAAGAGCTCATAAGTCGTATTTGTCCGCTCTAAGTAAAGTGAAGCGTACTGTACTAAAGCCTCCTCCAGTGTTAAGAGTGAGGCTTCAAGTTGAAGTATTTACTGAAGGATTTACTGAAACACTAAAACATTCACAGTAAAGCACATTACAGGCTTCAAATGTCAGAGTTTAAACTAGAGCTGCCATCAGTGTTTTACCCAATGTGGGAAAGGTAATGTTCACCACCGTTAGCTTGGTATTTGTCTTTACTTTACGCTCTCCAAGCTGGGACTGACTTCTTTGGCACTGACAGTATAACATGTTATTAACGCTATTTATAATGCATTATATTAACAATTCATAATGTATAATAAACATGGCCATAAAGTGTAATTCAGTGTAATTCATTTTTATGAATGTTTATAATCATGTTTATAATGCCGTATGAAGGCATTATAACATGTTATAAATGTGTTTATAGATGCTTACAAATGTGACATTCATAGAGTGTTACCAAAATATCTTCTCTTCTACTTACAAACACAACTGCGATGTGGGTTGAAAGTCAGAATGAACTACGAGTCAGAAATAATTCATATAAAATCACGGCGCTCTGTTATTATCGCTGGCCGTAACTACACCTTCTAAAGGTTGTTTGTTTTCTCTTAGTCTTGGTCTTCATCTTCATCATCCTCATCACAGAATCAGATCCTCTGTCTCTCCTGGTTGGGATGGTGTTTGTTCTCTTTGACCTTCTCTTTATCATTTAGCGCTCGACCTCGTAAAATCTGTTTCACTGAAGAGCAGAAGCAGGTGCTGCGAATGTTGACATCAGCAGGTTTTCTATGGAAATGTTCTCCAGTTCGGGTTTTCTGCTG